TTTTTCAAGAGAAGTCATTTCTTACACGACAAAATTAGGAGGGAGATGCCTGTGAGTGGATAAAATGTAAATTAGTGTAACTTTTCAGAAGAGGAATTTGAACAAATGTTTTCAGAAGTGGAGCTGTCACTCCTGGCCCAACAACTCCACTTCTGAAAATTTATTCTAATGAGATAATCCTGTATACAGACAAGCACATTTACCACAGCAATGTGGTGTAACCTCCACATCCAAAAGGTATTTAAAAAATCAAAACTCCCCACAGCAGGAGATTCATTAACCCAGTGACAGCTCATTTATACAAGGGAATGAGATGGCACCTATCTAACCTCTAGTCCAGCATCGGGGGAGTGTGCGCTCAGTCAGTGTGGGACAGTGAAAGTCAGTGAAATAAAGAAAAGCCTTTGCCACCTTGCATAAGAAAGATGGCAGTAAATAAAAATTGTAGTCCGATTATTATAATCACCTTTTTAGAACAAAAGTAATGTATCTGATTTACAGACAATGTCTAAAAGGACATGCGATTATTTTTAATGAGTTGTGTAACTGTGTGTTTAAAATTTAAAAACAAGATACTGTGAAGTCAGGTCAACACTGCACCCTAATAGGAATGTATCAAACTGCTACAGGCAAGCCTTCACATGGATGGAGCAATCCAGACAAAGGCCATTCGCTGCACGCCTCGTAGCTTACAAGCCACCAATAAGTCTTAGATGACCCAGATACATGCTAGGAGACTCCCCACCATGAAAAGTTGAAACACCCCAATAATAAGCAATAGTAGCCTTACATCAGCTAATATTTTTTTAACATTTTAAAAAATTTGTATTTATTTATTACTGTATTTTTTTTGGTAGTGGGGGTGGTAATTAGGTTTATTTATTTTTAGAGGAGGTCCTGGGGATTGAACCCAGGACCTCAAGCATGCTAAACATGCACTCTGCCACTTGAGCTACACCCTTCCCCGCTAATACAGTTTTAAAAGAACAAAATTTGTAATGCTTTTTTCCCCCAGAGCTCCTCCTCTGATTGCACGCACCTTCCCACCCACAGGCTCAGCTCCATCATTTCATGAAGGTGAGAATGAAACTCTTTTCCTACATTTTACCTCCAATTCCATTTTAACAGTCAGCTTGAAACCCATCCATCCACCAGAAAAATCTCAACTAGAACATCTTAAACACACACACAGAGAAAGATAAACAGAAATCGGAATTAGACTTTCTTGGACATGTCAGCCCCCCGTGGGTTTTCAAATTCCATGTTCGGTCATCCATTATCGGGTAGCTTCATGGATTCGCCACTAACCAGTCACCCGATGGCTTAAAACAGAGCTCTCAGTCTGCAAAAATGAAGATGTTATCGCCGAGAAAGTCAGGGGCCTGGGAGGCAGCTGGTTGCTTTTACAGGGACTGACTTATCTGGAAGGAGACTCAGCCGGGCTTCTGAATATAAACAGGAATTAGTCAGGTAGGAGAAGAACAAATAAGCACAATGATTGAGAGACCTTCCCCAAAGGCAGATCCCGGTGAGTGGAACAGACACCCAAACCCTCCCTGGGGTTTCTGCCAGACTCAGAATTAGGAGGAAGAGGACAGGCTTTGGAGCTGACGAGTCTGATTTAGAATATTGATTCAGCCAGCTCGTTATGGTATATGCTGGGCAGGTTTCAAAACTCTCTGAGCCTCAGTTTTCCTGCCAGGAAAATGGACGCTATAACACCTACCCCACTGGGTCGTTGGGGATAGTTAGAGCTACTATGGGAACTCATAGTGCCTAGCACCTCGTGAATCCGGTATGAGTGGTGACGTTGTTATTCGAGGAGGAGAAGAGAAGCCAGGCAGGAGACACGAAATGTTATTAGGGAAGAGAAGGTGTTCGAATATTCTCTTTCCATTTCAGATCAGCCAACATCTAACAACCAGAGAAGGCAGCCGCTGAATTCACTCCCTCCACCCAGCTAGAGGTCAGTATTACACCAGTCTCCCTGAGGAAGAAAGTGGCGATCCTACAGCCCATTTTCAGAGAATCTGTCCCCCTTTCCTGCTCCGTGCTCTTTGGTGTCTTTTCCTCCAACTTTCAGGAGGGGTTCACCATCATGGGTAAGCGTCTCCATGTCATCAGAAAATTTCAGCAAATTCCCACTCATGGCTGCGATCAGACGGATTGTGAGGGACGGATGAGAAAAATAAAGGGGAAAGGGATTCAAGAGAACAAGAATGACCAGTTGAGACTGGCATTCTTCACGGAGGGTGCTTTTGAGTTATTGGCGTTTAATCATAAACCCATTATTTGGGAAGGCAAAATTCATTGATGTTTCAGGGCCTGGCATTTTTCAGCTGGCCTGCCCTCTGCCGAATGAGATCTCCACTGGCTTGAATGAGGCAAGAAGAGAGACCGTGGTCGTTTCCAGGGGCCTTTCTGGGTCATTTCCCATCACCTTGCATGCCAGCAAAATCTATTTCTCTCTCTGTCTCTCTCTCTCTCTCTCTGTCTCTTTCTGTCTCTTTGTCATTCTGTCTCAATCTCTGTCTCTCTCTCTCTGGTTCACACACACACACACACACACACACACACACACACAGAGTTCCCCTTAAGAATGATAAAAGCAATGGCTAAAGCGAAGTGACAAACAGCGTTCCTGGAGCAAAAGATTCACTGGCCTGGAAGGAATCTCAGACATCATGTCCCCTATCTGTCTGATAAGATTTCATCTAAAATCCTTCCCGGCTGAGTGGAGATCAGGCCAGTCTAAAAGATCACCACAAAGTCGATCCATCCAAATTCATTCATTCATTCACTCATCCCAGGAACAGACATTTAATAAATGCTAATCATAGCAACAATAAAAGGCTACATTTATGAAGCTCGTAACTGTACACCAAGCATGATGGTGGGCAAAAGAGGCAGGTGCCCAGACCTAAAGGCCTTCGATAGGAGGAAGCTATTAAATAACTGCAAACAAAAAGACAGAATGACAACCTCTAGGAAGTGCTGTGAAGGAGAGGTTCAAAAAGCTGTTAAGTGTTCAACGTAGAAACATGACTTCATCTGGGGAAGACCTTGGTTTGTTCGGGGAACTAAATGAAGGTCATGTACAAAAGTCCAGAGAAGTGGGCATGGGCTGGACTGCACTGGACTCATGAAGCATAGAAAGGATTTTGGTCTTTATCCTGAGCAGTGGAAAGATAATGGAGGATATCCATGGAATTAATCTTAAAAGAAGGCAGACAGCATAGAGCTAGTTTATATCCACGGCATCAGAGCTCAGTCCTCTGGAGTCCAGGCTGAAGACTCAGGCCCCCCTTAAAGCTAAACAGCGTCACAGACAGAGAACATTCTGTAAGCATCCCCCATGCCAGCCACCCTTTCGCAGAGGCCGTTTATGGCCCACAGCAATTTGAATCTGATACATTTATTGAGTTCCCCCGACCTCCACCACATGCCTGACCCTGTGCTGGCAGCTGGGGAGAGCCGTGCAGTCAAAATAAGACACAGATAAATAACCCAAATCCAAGGCAAAATATTACAGAGGCTATAAAAGAGGTACTAAAAATGCAGCCAAAAAGACAGCAGAGTTTAAGTGAGAGATACAGGATCTAGACCCCGAGTGTAAGTTGTGACTGTGCCACTTACCAGCCATGTGACCTTGGACAAGTCACCTCTGTGAACCTCAATTATTCTGATGCCTGAGTGAGTTCTGTGTACTGAAAAGACTATTGAGGAGTTTAACTTGGACTTTCAAGTGAATGGTCAGTTGACGAAAGGTACACATTTTAAACTATATTTTCTCCTTGGGTTTTACATTCCACTTACAAACCTTGTTTTTCGATTTATAAGAGGAGCGAATTCTAAGCATCACTTTTTTTAGTCACTTTTAAAGGGCCTTTCACCAATGCTTGGTTACATTTGCAAACTTAGGTGATGGAATTCCTTCAAATAGTTTAAACTGCACTTATAAATTCAATTTTTCATTTTAAGCACATCAATTGTCTAATCAACAAATATTCCCAGATTTTTAATCTAATAAATAATGTATGTGATTGCTGTATCCACTTAAAGATGTAAGTCTCAATAGTTTGTAAATTTCACAGTTTAAATTAGAATTACCAGAGTATCATTTTAATAGGCCAAATTTTCTTAAACTTCACCTTAATATTTTTTAAACAGGAATTACCAAATATGGCCTGACTCTTTATTAATACAAAAATATTTATACTGTAGTTTTTATTATTTTAAACATGTATATACGCATGTAACCTAAAACTTCCAGAGAATGGAAGGAAGACGCTTGCCCAGTGAGAAAGGCAATCATGCCCCTGTTTGCTGAAGTTGCCTTCCACAGAGCTATTTGGCTGGACAGGAGGTTTGGCTTCCTGTGTGGTGCATTTTGCAAAAAGTAAGAAAACTATTAAATCATCCCAGGAAGTACGGGAGTTGCCATCTCGGCATTCTTGGGATTACTCGACGATCAGAGATTTTGGTAACCTTGATATGGCATCCTGAACTCTGTTTTTAGAGGTTATGTCCACGAAGCTGTAACTTCAGTAGGGGCGTGGTCACATCTTGGGACTCTGGTTATACACGACCTCTGATTGTGCCTCACAAAAGTCTACTCACCAGAGTCTGAAACACCAGCCCAGCCTGATCTCTTGATTAGATTACAAACATTCTCTTTGGCTCCTAAGGTCTCTGCCTGTCTCTTCCGTCTAATGTTATAGGCATTTTACTGTAACAGAATCCAAAGCTACGTGAATGTCTTTACTGTCTGACTCTTAACGGAATCCTGCAGCCTTTGGCCACTGAATTTTAGATCTCTCAGGTTATTTTGTCTGACTTGTAGTGACCATTTCGGAAGCCAGGCTACTAACAACCTCATGTCTCTGGGCCCCTGTATCCCTATGCTTAGTGTCTTAGAGTTTCTGAGAATTATATGAAAAATGCACATGAAAGTCACTTGATGAACTATAAATCATAGTACAAATATTAGTGCCCACCAGAGCTGAGGGAGAGAGAGAGAGAGACTGAAAGAATGAATTAAGGGCACCATGAGAACATGGAGAAAGGAGTGATCACTTCTGGCTGGACATTCAAAGAGAGCTTCAAAGAAATTGGAGGGTTTAGATGGATCTTGAAAAATGGGTAGGATTCTGACTGGCAGTAATGATGGAGAAGCCAGCAAAAGTCCATTTGGAACTCTTTACAGAAGGCATTCAGCATAAAATTGCATTGAGTTTCAGGAAGATGTCAGGGCTTCTCTTGGCATGTAATAGTCTTCCCTCCTTCACCTTTCTGATCCTCCTAGACTTCTCACTTTCTACATTTTAAAACGGTTTTAATTCCATGTCTTTATTACCTAGGACTTCTCTTACTATGTAAAATGTGCTCCAAGAGAATACTGGGGACGCCCAATGCTCTCTCTCCAGCAGGCTGATAATGTTGTCCAAATTATTAGCTCTGTCCAACAGAAGGATTTTCCATGACCTCAGATATAAGGACTTCTGAGTGTAAACTAGTAAAATTCAAAACAAGTGGAACTGGCTGTAAGTGAGTGAGAACCATCCAAGAAACTGTAGTAAATGTATAATGCTGCTTTTAGGTACGTTCAAACTCTCATCCAGCTGATTTGGGTGTCCAGGTCATTTTCATTTCTTAAAGCACATAGCAAACAAAATAAAATGTTAAAACAGTTTGTTTTTAATTATATTATGTTTATATTAACGAAGTTACACTTCTAATGCTCAAAAATACAATGCAAGGTCAATTGCAGGATTTATGTAATGTGTTCATTCATGCTCTATTTTAAGCATTATGGTTCAGTAATGAGACGTAAGTTTAAAGATGAATACTTCCTCATTCATTCCTCTCTGCATTTCTAAATAATGTGAAAAAAAAACCAACTTTGAAAGTTTTCGGGCTGTGAGGCTTACAGACAAATGGCCTCTCTGGCTCCCAGGGACCCCCCCCCACCACCACCTCAACTCTGACAGGCTCTAAGCCGGGAATTTTAACGAGTGGAAATATTCATTCATTTATGTTGCAAGTGTTGTTGTCCACACAGTCAAGAAAATCTCAACTGTCCCTATTTACAATGAAGGCAGTCAACAGCTGCTTCGAGCACCCTGGTGAGTCTGGAACCAACCAGCAGGCTGCCCCTGAGGAAGCTGCCACCCCACACCGGGGGGCCCCATGAATTTCTCCAGGGCCATCCAATGTCTTCAGAGAACGACACTTCAATTGGCTTGCCCTGGGGATAGACGCTTAGCTGCTGGGAGTCCAGGTGAGAGGGTGGAGAGCCACCTCTTCTGAGTACAGACAGACAGACTTCCATTGAATGCCTTGTTTTCAACACCACCTCTTTCTCCTACTCCTTTTACTACTTTTGCTTGTTTTTTTTCTTTTTCTTTTCTTTCTTTCTTTTTTTTTTTTTTTTTTTTTTTTTTGCTTCCTCATCTCTGCCCAGATTCTGGATGAAGGATGAGCCCCTCCTCAGCTGAGATGTCTGGATTATAGTTTCCTCTCCCTCCTATGGCCAGTCTGCCTTCGACTTTCCAGGGGGAGCTCCATCTCACCAGGAATGCACATCCCCGGGTAGTTTATGATTGGAGCCTTCTCACCGTTCAGGTCGCAGCTCAAATATCATCTCCCTAGGAGGGAAGCCCCCCCAGTCTGAAGTAGCCGTCCACCCTCAACCCCTCTCTCTCCTCCCCCTGCCATCTCTCCCTCATAGGGCATTCGTCACTCTCTATAATCACCTTGCTCATTTATTTCTTCATGTCTTTGTCCCCCTACCAGAATTGAAGCCCCAGGAGAGTTCAGATCTCTTCTGTCAAGCTTTGCATTGTGTCATCAGATTTTAGGCCCCTGACCAATACTAGGACTTCAATAAATGTTAGATAAATGACTAAAATCCCTGATCTTTTCAACAAATATTCCTTCACGGTGTCTTAGGGGCCAGGAATTGTGTCTATAAAGGGGAATTTCGTCCACTGATGAAAAATGTCTTCCTGCTTTTCCACCACTTCCTGCCTCCACTCTCCTTCCATCCCGACAAACAGACACACACGGGCAGCCTCTGCCTTCGTGCCTCGTGGCCCAAAGGAAAGACACCCAAAGATAGAGTGACCCTGTCCCCATAGACAACTGCCATCGGAGCCGGCCCTGGCAGCTGGCCAGACAACGCAGGCTGAATGTTTCCTGGGCGCAGCTTCATAAATATGCAGCTGCACTAAAAGCCACGGTCCAGTGAGTAATGAGAGAAAGAGGCCCAGGTGTCCCTGGAGGAGTGGGCTCTTATTTACAAGAGCACACAGAGGCTGGCTGGGACCCAGCCCTCCTCCCCGGCCTTGACTGTATCACAGCAAACACGCCTGACCACGAGCTCCCCTCCAGACACTTGCAGCTGGCTGGAAAATGAGCGTGATGGTAAACACATGTTGTCACGCCTGTGACCTGGCAAATCAGATCACCTGCCTCCGACCCACCCCGGGGCTGGACTGTGAAATCAAGTTCTCTGAAGGACAACTGGTTTGTTGTTGTTGTTTGTCGGGGAGTCTAAAGTTCCTCGGAAGTCCTCGCCATCGCGGGGAACAGAATATCTTTTCTTTATTTCACTGTCCCCTGTTCCCAAAGCGCCGGCCTCAGCCTTGTTCTTGTCAAGGAGCCCAAACATTCTCATTCAAAGGCTGTATTTACAAATGAAGCAGCGCGGCTGTAAAACTGATGACCTTGCTGCTTCTGGAATCTCATAAAAAGTTTCCAAGCTGCTCCTCCCCAGAGCAAATAAGGGCGTTGGAGTTGATGGTCCCTGGCAGGGTTCCAGCTGCGGCTGTTACATTCCCCCCATCAGCTTTCCTCTGAGGCTCCCAACGCAAACTGAGACTTGCCTGCGTGTCAGGGTGCTTAACTCTGAAGGCGCCGCAGTGCTTGGGGTGCTCAGACCCAGAGGTGGGAGCAGCGCAGAAAATGAAACGGAGAAGAGAGAAAGGGGGCCACATGGATTGAGATGCTGTTATGTGCCAGGCACTGTGCAAAGAATTTTGCATTTATTTTCTTTTTCTTTTTTTAATTCTTTATTGAAGTGTAGTTGATGTACAATGTTAGTTTTGGGTGTATAGGAAAGTGATTCAGTTATACATATACACATATATATTTTTTCTTTTCAGATTTTTTTTCCATTATGTTATTACAAGAAACTGAATATAGTTCCCTGTGCTATACAGTAGGTCCTTCTTATCGATCCATTTTTATATATAGAAATGCATGTCTGTTAATCCCCAACCCCATGATTTGTCCCACTGTCCCCTCCTTTCCCCTTTGGTAACCATAATTTGTTTTCTATGTCCATGAGTCTGTGATGTATAAATAGAATTTGTATCATTTTCTCATCCCAGCTCTGTAACTTATTCGTAGGCTAGCCCTTGCTGGAAGCTTTAACCCAGGTGCCCACGTATTGGAATGTTTGTGGCAGATTTTGGGGGGTTCCCATGGATACGGTTTATTAAAATACATCTATTTTCTGACAGCCTGTGCTGTAGAAGCAGCCAGGTGATACGGATGGGGTCCATGAGAGGCAATGGACCTGTGGGTTGGTGGGGCTTCTGGGAATCAATCATTTTACTGATAAAGAGGCTTGCTTCACTAACTTGAGTCTTTTGCCCTTTTCCATGCTTCCTTCTTTGAAAGAGGATGTGAAGCTTAGGGGAGCAGCACTTACCTTAGGATCAAAAGGCTCAGAAAGAGGGAAAGAGCCTGGGACATGGATAGCAAAATGGATGCGCTCCCTCAACCCCCATCTCGCTGCATCAGGCTTCTCATTACCATGAAAAAATAGCTCCCTTCCTTTTGGTGGTGACAGACTTGAGGGTGGTCCCAGGGTGCCCATCTATTCCACTTTAACATGGATGGGACCTGTGACTTGCTTCTTTTTGTGCATGTGTGTGATCAGATTATCAATTTTTTTTAAGTATAGTCAGTTGTATCAATATCTGGTGTACAGCATAATGTTTCAGTTATACATATACATATATATACTCATTTTCATATTCTTTTTCATTATAGGTTACTCCAGGATACTAAATATAGTTCCCTGTGGTGACTTGCTTCTAACCAATAGAATAGGGCAAAGATGAGGGACTGTCACTCTGTGATTACGTTAGGTTACATAAGGCGTCATCTTGTTAGTGGACTTGTTCTAGAGACAATCCTTGCTGACTTAATAGATAAACAGCCATGGTGGAAAAGCCCAAGAGGCCAGGAACTGCAGGTGGCTTCTAGGAGCTGCAGGAAGTCCTTACAAACTGTGGGAGGCTTCTAGGAACAGTGAGCACCTTTTAGGAGCCAAGGGCAGCCTCCAGTCAGGAAGAAGTCAAAGCCCTTGGTCCCACAGCGGTAAGAAAATACATTCTGCCAACAACCTGAGTGAGTTTGGAAGTGGATTCTTCCCCAGCAAAGCTTCCAGATGAGAATGCAGCCCAGCTGACACCTTCATTGCAGCCTTGCATGACTCGGAGCACAGGATTCAGCCAAGCTACGCCCGGACTCTGGATCCACAGAAACCATGAGATGATAAAAGCGTGTGGTTTAAACCTCTAAGTTTGCAGCAATGCATCACTAACTAATGCACTCCTTTACACCTCTCCTCCCAGCTCTCTGTGATGTGCAGCCAAATTGATACAGTTGGTAGATACACAGATGAGCATCTAGGGAGATCTCTGGGAGGTATCCACGGATGAGAGTTGACTCCTAGAGAAGGAAGAAGAGCAGGGGTTGTTGGCAGATGAAGAAAAATCTGGGGTCTTAGATTTTTCTCCAAATAGAAGAACTTTGGGCTGCTGACTATTTAACTACTTCCCAAAATATCATAGGATTTAAGGATTAGAAAAAAGAAAGTTTGTTAAATAACGTTTTGGAGTAAGTCTTTGAACGAAAGATAGGAAAGCAAACTGTATTCCTCTTTTTCTAGTTTTCAGCTGTATTGGAGATACTTTCAACTAGGAACTCCCACTGGCATCCCGTGAGTGCTCACTCTGTACCAAGTACCATGTCAAGCCTTCACCTGGGCTGTCTCTCTAACGCTCACAGACATCCTACAAACTACAAACAAACTAGACATCCTATAGACTATTCCCACATGACAGGTGAGAAAACAGATTCAGAGCGGCTAAGGGGCAGGTCAGGAGGCAGTCAGCCTTCATCCTCCAGGTGTATAACCCCTATGCTGTTCATTCGGTTGTAAATGATGGAAAATAGAGGAAAATCGTAATAAGAAGGGAGAAACACCTTTTCCATACTTCTGACACCTGGGAACCAGCAGGAATTACTTTTCGGTGTATTCCCTAACAGCACAGAGATGAGACTACACATACAAATGTGTGTCCTGCATCCTTGTGTTTTCGGTTAACAGGCTCTAAGCAATTCCTCATGTTATGCAGAGTTCCTGGTAAGCGCTGGCTGCCTTATGTGCCATTATCTGGTTGTGCTGTAATTTACTAAGTCTTCCTGATACAGACAATTTGAGATAATTTCCGTTTAGGACTATTACATATAGAGCTGCAATTAGCATCTTTGCACACGGAAGTTTTTTCCACATTTTGAGTTTAGGGTAGAATCCTCCAAGCGGTGTGACTGAATCAGAGAAGATGAGTCCCCTTAAGGTCACCAGTGCTGTACACCCGGTGACTGTCGCTTAAGATGCCACTGTGAGGCTTTGGAGACAAGAGAAGGGAGCTGTATCTCTTGAGAAAGAATGGCCCCTCCCTGGGGCTCATCCCCTCAAAAGTGACATGAGGGGACTACTTACCTATTATAGAGAGGCCAGATTTTTATTGTCATCTGGAATAGAGTACTTCTTCCAGAAGCTGTAAAATTTGAGCCTGATATTTGGTTAACTTCTCTGGTGTTTGCGTTTCATAAACTGTCTCACAGCTGTCGCCTCAGCCCTTTTTAAATGTTCCTAAATAAACGCCGGGGCCTGCACGCTGCCTTCCGATGTGAGCAGACCTCTGCTGTCCCCGAGTCTCCCCATTCTCCTTGGTACCCACCATAAAAAGATGCCTTATTTTGGAGGTAAAATAAGGGAAACGTTTTTCAGTTTTCAACCTAGAGGCTAAATGGCCCAGGGAAAGTAATTTCTCATCCCATCTGCGCCAGATACATTTTGACTTGGGTGATGGTGCCAGGTACTGGCATGGAAAAGGACTTTAGGCACCTAATAACAAAAATAGCTGAATTTTGCTGAACATTGACTGTGTGCCAGCACTGGGCTAAGCGCTTTGCATAGATTGTTGCCTTTAACTTCAGCACAATCCTATCAGGTAGAAAGACCCAATGTCTACATTTTGCAGTTGAGAAAATGGAGAGGCAGAGAGATAATAACTTCCCAAGATCACAGGGCTATTCAGCCCAGTCGTTCAAGCCAGAAGAGATCTTAGAGACCACTGAGATTCTGTGTGTGTGTGTGTGTTTTATTGAAGCATAGTCAGTGTACAATGTTGTGTCAGTTTCTGGTGCACAGCATAATGCTTCAGTCATACCTGAACGTACATATTCGTTTTCATATTTTTGCCTTGTGGTCTTCAAATCTGCTCTAGAGCTCAGGGGAACACTGTGGGGACAAGGGCTGCCCAGGAAGGGAAAGCCAGGGAGAAAGGCTCCAACCCACCCCACTTTTCTACTCCCCACACCCGGCTTGTGGTAGGCAGCATAATGTACCCCCACCCTCCCCCCACCTCCCCTCCGCCAACCACGTCAATATTCTAAGCCCCAGAGTCTGCGAATATGTGGCCTTACATGGCAAAAGGGAGTTTACAGATGTGATTAAGTTAAGGACCTTGAGCTGGGGAGATTACCCAGGATTAGCCAAGGGGGCCCCATCTAATCACAGAGGGCCTTAAAAGTGAAGAACCTTTCCCAGCTGCGGTCAGAGGGAGCTGCGGTTAAGGGAGAATTGTCAGAGCGATGCAACGTTGTTGCTAATTTTGAAGATGGAGGAAGGGCTGTGAGCCAAGACCTGTCACCTCTCAAAGCTGGAAAAGGCAAGGACATGGAGGTTCCCCCAGAGCCTCCAGAAAGGAATATAGCCCTGCTCACACCTGGATTTTCGCCCAGGGAGACCTCTCTGACTTCTAACCCGCAGCACTGTAAGGTAATAAACTGATGTCATTTTAAGCCACTAACATCGTGGCAATTTGTTATGACAGCAACAAATATTGGTGTGACCCTGCTTCAGCCAGAGCCTCTCCACTGTACATTTTTGAGATCAGACTTCAGTCTGATATTGCATTTGGGAAATAAAGAGTACATTTCTTGCTTAAAAAAAAAAA